TGGGGAGGGGAGGAAACCAGCAGGGCTTTCTTCTCCCCATGGGAGGTAACAGCACATTCCTGTCTCAGCAAAAGCTTTGCAGATTAAACCCCAGGAAAGGGAGAAGGGGGAGGAGAATGACTGAGTGGCTGCATCCACCATCCGCAGCCCTCTCCCCTTGTGTGAGTGGACACAAAGTAGTTCAAAGAGCAGCAGCAGCGAAGCCAGGCAGCGCCTTCTTCCTTCCCCTGAGCTGCTGGGGGCTGCTCCCCGGCTGCACCTGCAGCCCCCCCTGCCTCCGAGCCCGCAGCATGCCCCACGCATAACAAATCAGCAGGGCAATCAGCCCAGCAGGCAGGCAGAGGATGTCTGCCAAGGCAGCGGCCGGAGGGAGCCAGGTACAGCACAGCCAAGCACCAGGGAGACCCTCTCCTGCCCTCCACACCCCACAGGGCAGTGCCCTAGCTCCTTACCCCATGGGCCCTTGCCCCAGCAGCATCCCATTCATCCATCTTGAGCCTCTTCCCCTGGAGATGACAAAGGCGGCATAACAATGAGAGACACCGAGGAGCTCTGGGAACTGCCTACCCCAGATTCAGTTATTAACTTTCATCAGGCAGCTCCGACTAGGACTCCCAGAAGAGCTCGGTGCGAGCCTGCGCTGCGCGGCCTGCTGGGAAATGTAGTTCTCAGCTGCACCACAAGCTGTTTCCATCTCAGCCCTGGCCGTGTGGTGGGGCTCGGGGCTTCAGGCCAGGTCCTAATGAATCAAGGTCCATGGTAAAAATAACCAGGTGCTGGGGGTTTTATGCACAAAGAGCACTTGGAGCGATTTGTTTCAGAGTAACGGAGAGGTCACCAAATCTCGGTGCCTGAGACAATTGTTTAGCTCTTCCTGGGGCGCTGGCAACTCCCTTGGTGCTGGCTCCGCTCCTTCCCAGCTGTTACATCCCTGTTTCCCTGCAGTAGTTGCACTGGGGAATGGGAGGGATGCTGGTGATGAGAAAGTGCTGGTTAAAGCATACCTGAGATGATGGACGTGTCTGAGGCGCTACGGAGGGAAATCAAGTGAGAAATGGGAAAGGGCAGTGTGCACGCTCATGTCTGTCTGCTCTATAACCTGCTGACTGGAATATGGCTGCTGCCACTGCCGGTTCCTGAAGGTGTAATGCAGGGCTAATGATAGTATAAGACCTGCGCACTTCCCATATCGCAGCCCCGGCAGATGACATTATTTGATGGTGGACTCGTCAGAGGACAGTAAGGACTGTACAAGTCAGGTTTTCACATCTAATGGTGCTTAACCAAGCGACCGTGTGCACACAGTTGATGCAGTACTGATGTTACCCATGACTGGAGACAGGTAGTTAGCCATGTTAGTCTGAAGTCGGGCAGAAAGCCTTCTGCTTATGATCGTTTGTTGTCAGTGTGACATTGCTTTGCACGGTGCTTTATACAGGGGGAGACATGCCCTACCACTGGCAATACGTAGGGGGTGCACACAGGTGCACATGCACCCCCTGACAGAAGCACCACTGACACTGCTGGCAGGGCCTGCGGGCAGTCACCCCTCACCACCATCCCCCTTGCCACCAACACCACCGGTGGCATTTGCAGGTGGTCACTGACCACTGTTCAGTGCTGGCCCCCCCGCCCAATCTGCTCCACCACCGACACCGCCATGGCCACCTGAGAGAGCTCTCCGCTTGTCACTGCTACACCCCCGCTGCCGTCACCGCCACCTGCGGGCAGTCGTCGTGCCCCCCCAGCCTCCGGGGGCACGTGCCATTCATGTCAATAACTGTTACCGTCTAATATATTTATAAATATAAAAACATGGACATTTCTTTCCACTGTAATGGACTGGACATTTCTAGAGACTCAGGGAGGAAGGTGCTGACACTTCTGCCCTGATGGAGTTTGGTTTGTATGCTTGAATCTAAATGGTTTTCATAGATTTAGTTTTGTGTTGATAGTACAGCATAAATGAAAGAATTCACTCTAAGCTGGTGCGCACGCAGCACCGAAGGCTAAGACTAAAATAATACAGTAGCCTTTTCAAGACTTTTATTTTAAAACGTTGGCTAACTCCCAACAGCAAGGACTGCAGTTCTTCCTCTCTATTTATTTTGTTTTGTGGTTTCTATTGTTAAATATATGCTGCACAAAATACCTTCCACAGCTCGTGATCTTTTTTTGGCACCCCATACCTTAATACAGATCTTCTATAGGATTATTTATACAGAGTTATATGTATTTAATGTTCAGTGGTACTGAGCTATCACTTCCTCCCAATCGTATTCTAAGTAAATATAATTAAAACATAAAAGGATGATGATTCATATCTAAAGGAATGTCATCATGAAGTGTATACGGGTCATCTAGAACTGATACAAATCCAGCAGAGCATAAGAGGTCGTCATCACAGGGACCTAATCCAGGTATTTATAAATATCTGACTACAGTGATATCTATATGCTAAAACACTAATAAGGCTTGCCAAAAGTTTCAAATGTCTGGGAACTCTTGCCTACCAATGTAATTAAATGCTGATAATGAAGTGGATCTCTTCCATGTTCTCATGTTGGACCCTTTCTCTATTTTGTTCTTCTGTGAGGCTGCATGGGTATCTTTTGCTCTGTTGTGGGATGGCCTACGAAGAAAAAGATCCCAAATCAAAATCTAGAGACAGCAAGGCTTCAGAGCTCTCAGCAGAGAGAGTTTCACAGGCTTGAATACTATAGCAATTAGATAAGCTACACAGATACTGAAATGTTTTAAATCGTGCTGAACCAACATTAAGACTGAGACAACAAAATGCTCTAACACTGAAAATCATTGCTTATGGGTGTTCCAGCCATGCTGAAGTTTTGACTGATTTTTCGGGAGGTGGCTTTGATGGAGAAAAAATATGTTTTTAGTGTTTAATGGCCACATGCTGACCTTTCACTGTAAATACCAAGAAGGCAGCCACATCAGAAATGTTTGTTGTTACTCCATGGGAATCCAAGACATAGAAGTGCAAGAGTGACACTCCAATGAATTGTGCTGTCATTAGGCCTCACTCACCAGGCAGACAAGAAAGGCTTGGTATAAATCCTGGTTGGATATTTGTTTTTATAGTATTAGATTTTCAAAATCCATAGTCTTTCTCTGGATCACAGACTTGCTCCTTTCTTTGCCTCTGCAGTGCTGCTGTGGGAGGTCTGCATCCCAGCCTACAAAACATGAATAATAGCTAAAAGCAAGCTCAGCAAATGTCTACATGGCTCCTGCTTGGTCTGGGGACCTGGGTGATTGAGGGCGAGGAGAAACATGGTAGTTTAATTATTTCAACTGTATTTCTCATTTTTCTCCCTGGATTCAGTAGACAATTCTATTTATTTATTTAAAAATACAATCTGAGTGTATATTTTCCCTGCTGCCTAAGACAAAGCCCGTTGTCAGTGTCACAGTTGCCACCTGTGAAAGGATAGTAAGTCTTGGTGACTGGGTAATTCTTGGCCTCTGGCTGTGGAAAGGTTTAACTCACTCCCTCCTCCAAGAGGGACTGCTCCTGCCCTTGCTTAGTCTTACCTGCCATGACTTTGATGGAAAATTTAGAGGCAGTGATGTTTCGTCTGGAAACAGTCAATCCTTGAGCAGGGGCAGAGCACCAAGAATGATCCCAGTCTCGTGCAGCACTGTGTCCTTCGGGACCAGCCAAGTGATATTAAGGGCCAAATTTTGGGAGTTCCTCTAACCCCTACACTCCTGCCTCATACCTCTGGGGATTTAATTACTTTAAGTCCTATCTTCACCCAGCCTTGTTGCTGTAGGTGCCAGATTTAGCTCCGGGGATACCCAAGAGTCTGTCCCTTATAAGGATAACTAAAAGTGAGCAGTTCAGCTACTCCTCATCTGTCCAATGCTTGGCTCACTTCAGTGTCTGTTCACTGCCTTGCCTTAGTTCCCAGGGCTTCTTGGTCTCTCCTGCCAACTTTCTGCTCCAATCAGGTGTGATCTCAGCTGCACAGCTGAGGCTCCTGATCCCTATGGAGGAAACAACCAAGCCTTGATCAGCTGACTCCCAGCTCGGGTGCAGAGCTAGGTGCAGAGATCTGACCCTTCCCTTTCTCTGGACAGTGACTCACATCAGTGTGGATCTCCGGCTTCAGTCTCACTCCCTGTGAGGCTTCCCAGTTCAACTGGGACTGGGTGAGGTACTGACCCCAGCTCTCCTGATTCCGCGCTGGTTCAAGCATGTCGGATGGGTCACAAATTGGCTGGAGGGCCGCACCCAG